TGAGACACAAAACACACACACACACACACACACACACACACACACACACACACACACACACACTCTCTTGTAATATAGACCACAATAGGCAGAATATTTACCAAACAGCTCTGATCTTTTTCACTCAGGTGGGGCTTTGTCTGACATACCTCATCCTTAGCCAGGAAGATGTAGTCCCCTTCAGCAGTGGTCCTTAAAAACATTAGAAACACATACATTTATAAAAAGTGGTAAAGTGTTCAAAGGGAAAGATCATACAGAATTAAGTGTTTGTGGCTTTGGCATACAGTACGCTACAATTCAAATGTTTCTGAAAGAAGTCCCTTATGCTCACTGATTCTGCATTTAATTACAACAACAGCAAAACAGTAATATTGTGAAATATTATCACATTTCCTATTTTTATTTATTTTAAAATGTAAATTATTCCTTTGATGGAAAAGCTGAGTTTTCAGCAGCCATTACTCCAGTCTTCTGAGTCATATGACCCTTCAGAAATCATTCTGATGTGCTGATTTAGTGCTCGAGAAAACTTTCTTATTATTATTAATGTTGAAAACAATTGTGCTGCTTAATATTTTAGTGCAAACTGTGATGCATTTTTTTCAAGATTCTTTGATGAATAAAAAGTTTAAAAAGGCAGTTATTTTAAATGTAAAGTTACAGAGTAACAATATTGCAAAGATTTCTGTCACGTTTGATCAATTTAACGCATCCTTGCTGAATTGAAGCATTCATTTATTTAAAAAATAAAAAAGAAAGAAAAGGGCAATCCTTCAGTATGTCCCACCCCATATCTTTTTCTTTCAATAGGAAATAAATTAACACAAAAACTGCAAAAAGCACTGGGATTTTAATGGCATCTTTTCTTAAAATTCAATTCCTGCATGGTTATTTGTCATTGTTTTTTTTTTAGCTAGATTAGCAGGCAGTACGGTAGTCATTAAAGATCGCACTGAGTTAATTTTACCTGAGAATGAAGACATTCTTCTTCTTTTTATATCCGTTGGTAGTGTCAAATTCGCAGATGGCCAAGTTGAGAAGTGGCTCATCGTTGTAGGGTGTTGTTTTGTGTCGGGAATCCTTGTAGAAACCGATCTCCCCTTGTTTGAGCATGCAGAACAGATTTACCCACGACTTGCTGCAAGAGGTTTAGAAAGTTAGGAATAACTTTGTGAGTTACTAGGCCTCACCAAGGCATTTAGTATTGCTATTAGCAGGCAAACACACTCATAATGACATTTCTAATGCACTATTAGGCCATGACCACAATTAACAAGTCCCCTCCAATATTCAAAATAGTGGTTGATCACAATATGCATTTTAAATGATGGATTCATTTGTTGCCACATCTTTCACTATTCATAATTCAATTGAATGATGAACCGCATGCCGTATACAACCCTAACCCTATACTGGATGTAGTATACATTCAGTATTTCCAGATCACTCTAAATAAATCTAATTCACTTAGTGGTTATTCACCATTCTATTTACCATGAGGTACATCATTTACCAGAATGCAATCTTTCTCTAGCATGTAAAATGGCAGGGTAGGTCATGCAGCATCAAGTTAATATACAACAACAGATGTAATTTATGCTTGCGTACTGTGTTCGTATACTATCTACTAGCAATGCATGCTATTCTGAACACAGTTAACATTAGCATAATTAGCTATTAGCTTGGTAACAGGATTTCTAGTGTATTAGCAGTAGCGACGAAAAGCACTTAGATTATTCATAATAAAATTATAGTTACTGGGGGAAAATCGTGAAAAAAGTCAATAGAGATCATGTCAGGACATTGCTATTTTTATCAGCTAGTAAGAAGAAATACACCTATTTGGGCTTCTCTCTTTCCCCTCCTCTTCGTGTTTCCTGTACAGGAAGCCCTCATGTTGAACGGTGTGGGCAGGAGGCTGAGGTGTGGATGGGACGCTCTGAGCAGGTGCAGAACGGGACCTCCGTGGCTCCTCAGGCTCTTTTGGACGAGGTCTTCGTCGTGGTTTGGGGCGGTCTCGAGCTCGAGGGCGATCCAGACGGCTCACTGGTGCAGAGAGGCTGCTGGAGGGTCTGTACACCTCTCCTCTCGCCTGAAAAATACACTTTGTGAATGTACGAAGCAGAATCGTTTATTATAAGAAAACAACATAGTGAACTATAAAAAAAAATTTAATGGTTGTATATGGAAATTAGGCGTGTTGTGCATCACATTGTCAAATCTTCCATTTCCAAATAAAAATATATAAATACTGTATCTGCATACAGCAAAGTCAAAGTCTGCATAAGATCATTCTTACCTGAACAATAAAATGCACAGAGATACTTAAATAGTTTGAGCTGCTGACTAAAATGTTTGGGGATCAGTCCCAAGTTTCAGAGGATGCAAGGTGACCCAGAAAGTGGAGAATTACTGAGATCACAATTCTGCTCTATCACTATTGTGCCCTTGAGCAAGACACCAAACCAAGATACTCCAGAGGCACTGTACCTGCAGTGAGTCTACTCTTATTTCTCTTTGCATGACACAAATGGTAGAAAAATCCTCAAACTGTAAACTTTAGCGGTGTGTGGACTGATTTTCTTCAAAACAAGAATCGCCTGAACATTCACTTCTGCTTAAAAGTTTGGGGTCATTAAAGGGTTAGTTCACCCAAAAATGAAAATTAGCCCATAAATTACTCACCCTCAAGTCATCCTAGGTGTATATGACTTTCTTCTTTCAGACGAATCCAGTCTGAGTTTTATTAAAAATTGTCCTTGATCTTTCAAGCTGTTTAATGCCACTCAGTGGGTGCTGCATGCATCAGTCCAAAAGCAATTAAATAAAATGCGCCCATCCATAAAACTCACACGGCTCCGGGGGGTGAACAAATAATGTTCTTTTTAGCAACATCATATGACCCCTTTAAGTTTTTTCTTTTGAAAATGAATACGTTTATTTTTTTTTTTTAAATGTGAAGCACTAAATCAGCTTCAGCATCACTTTCTTAAGCACTAAATCAGCATATTTTCTGAAGGAACATGTGACTGGAATAATGGCTCTTCAAAATATATTTAAATAGAAAAATGTTATTAAAAATTATTATTACTGTTTTTACTGTATTTTTGATTAAATAAATGCAACCTTAGTGAGCATCAACTGTATAAGTTCAGTTCATTCAAAACCTTTAAAAAATCATACCGACCCCAAACGTTTGAACGGTAAAGTATTACTAATTGTGTAGATGATGCATTAAAATGGTGAGGGGGAATATGATGCATGATGTGAATTAAATCTATGATAAATATTGAATTCCAGTACAGACTCAACACATACTTGACAAGCTTCTCTCTCCTGCACTTGCTCAACAATCTCAGCCATAGTGGAACGCCTCTCCCTAAAAAAAAAACAAAAAAGATGAGAAAGCCAACTAAGTTATACAAATAAGAGAACACACACATACACACACACATTTGTTATTTTATCATGGCGGGGACTTTGACTTCTATGTTTTTATATTGGGCTATTTCTATTTTCTATACTCAAAACTTTTTTATTATTATTTTCTATATACTATTATTAATATTTTTAATTAGGTTTCCTTTTAATTTGTCATTTAGCTTTATTTTTATTTCAGTTTTATTTTAGTAATTTTAGCACTTCATCTTATTTTATTTCAGTTGGTTGCCACGGCAGCGATTCTAATTTTCAGATTTTATTCCAGCTTTATTTCAATTACTGAAAATGATATATTATCATTTTAAATAAGCATGGGCAACACTTTTAGTTAAAAGTTTTAGTTAACAATTACAACACTTCATTACTTTTGTTTATTAAGCTTCCTTGATACTATTGGCTGATTTCAGGTTTTACTCTCCTCATGTGGATCTTTAACACTTACCCAAACACTAAGCGTACCCCTAAAAGCAAACGTTTTGGTTTTTAGAATAAAATAATTTTATTCTACTATTAAGTAGGAACTATTTTTACTTTTAAGGCATCTCAGAAAGGAGGTTTTGTTCCCAAAATATAGCCAAGCAAACACACATACACAAACACTCACCCAGATGGTCTCTTGTCAGATGGCTCTTTCCCGGATTCTGCATCGCTGGAGTCATGTTTCTGTACTCTCTGCTTACCGCTGCCCTCCTGCTCACTAGACGACTGTCTCTCCATTCTTCGACGGTAGCGTTCCTGCCTTACAATCAGCGGGAGCTCGTTAAGTCGTGCCTGGATCTCCTGCTCGCTGGAGGTCTGTCGGCCAAGCCGGTACTCTCTCTCCCGCCTCAAGTGATCCATTTGCGGGTCAGATCGGCTCCCGCGGGGGTCTCTCTGTAACCGGCTGTGGATCATCTCCAGGGAGGGGTCCAGGCCCATAGGAGGAGCTGGCATGTTTGCTGCTCCACCGGCGAGCTGGGCTCGGTGCGCCTCCAGTAAAGGTGGAACAGCTTTATGAATGTGGTTGATTTTGGGCTGAAAGCAGTCAGCTTTCAGGTGCTGCCAAGCATATCCCAGTTTGGGCTCCACTCCCACCGCCACAGCACCTAAATGGTTCAGGCTGTGGTAGCTGGAGCTGTCTTCTGCTAAAACACCCTGTTGGTTAAGTCCAGTGTAGCTGGAGCTGTTCACCCCCAAGACACCAACTTGTTGGTTTAACCCCTGATAGCTAGAATTATCCAACCCTGAAACAATTTGTTGTTTTAGCCCATGGTAGGAAAGACCCTCCGCCGTGCCCCCCGATGGCTGGTTCAGCCCTTGGTACGAGGAGCCGTTCATGACGGGCGTGTAAGGGTTCAGGGTGGATCCGAGCCGCTGAGCGAGTGTGTTCACCATGGTGTGTTCTGTGGTGTGCATGAAGTCCGGCCCGGGCTTGGACTCCAGAAATGAGTCCTGAAGAGGGTTACGGAAGAGAGAGGAGGATGAAGACGAGGAAGAGGAGCTGGGCACAAGACAGGAGAGAGGGAACATCTGCCTGCTGAGGAGAGAGGAGGTAGAAGGCTGCTTGTTCAGTTCCTCCTTCATTTTCTCTGCCTGCAGATGGAGAAGAGAGAGAAAGATATTGTAGATCTTAATTTTATGTTATTTATATGCAGGGCCAGCTCCACATTAACCGAACAATCCTGCCCCCTCAGTCACGGTTAATGTGAAAAGGGATTTTAATGGATAAAAAAAAAAGTCACAATTGCCAAGTGCATTAGCTTTCTAACATTAATATTAGATTACTGCACAGCAACATTTTAGTTTAGGACAGTGTTTCACAAAGTCACATTCTGATGGGCACATTTGACACATTTGAACCTACATTGCATTGAACTTCCCATGCCATTAAGAATGCATATTTACGGAATATGCAAAAGGTATGATGAAGTATTTTTTTCATGTTCAGTGAGCTTGATATTTGGTCGTAATTAGTTTATTTCACTGCATTGTTATTGTTGTCTCGGTTGCAGTTCAGGCTGTTCTCACTTACCATTATGCATCTGTTAAATGGGTCGCAATGTGTGAAGTGTGAAGCAGTCACAAAGTACTGTAGACACAATTAAATATATTTGGTTGTGGTGGTATCATGGTAACTTGTCTGTATTCATGCAGGCCTGCTGAAAATGTGTATCTTTAAGACAGATCTGGTGTTCTAAAACAAATTTTTTTTAAATGTTGGCCTAGGCAATTTTTCTTTTTGTTTTATATAGTAATATTATTCAATGCTTTCCTATCTGTTAGTTGCTCAGTAGCTTTTAGTTTCATAGCTGTAGCAACAGCAGGTTTGTTTATGCCAGACAAATACACGAATGGGCCACTTCACATATAGCAGGGGATGTTACTCTGCGTTATGTCATCAGCCCCTTTTGTTACTTCAGACCCTCTGCAGTGCTGTGCTGATGCTGACTGTTTATACACAAGTCTGTTTCCATAATAACCAGGCGTAACGAGCTGAAATGATCCTTCCACGTGGACGCGGCCTTCCGGAATGCTTCATGCCGGCGAATCAACTCCTCCACCTCATCTGTCCCGCCACCTGCCTCACGGGTATTTGGAGTGATTGGTTCCTTGATTGTGAGCCAGGACTGCTCCGCCGATCCCAGCTGGTTGGACTGCAGCCTCTGCTGGGCTGGAGGGTACAAATAAAGGTTGTGGATAACTCTGAGAAAGTATCAGACTGGCAGACATTTAACATGATGTTACAACAATGTCATCACTGACCTTGCTGAAGCTTCTCCCAGTGCTGGTCCCATCGCTCATTCAGATCTTTCTGCTTTGCCATGATAAACTCCAGCTTCTCCTTTACCTGGATCGGTGGGTATGTAATTATTTATTATTTAAAAAAAAAACTTTCAAACCTCAAACTTTTGAATGGTATTTTGTGTCAAATGTTTTAATAAAAATCAGCCCCTGTGACATTAAGCTCAGATAAACCCATAATCCATATAAAGGCAAACTTTAAAACATGAGCCTGGCCATTTGTGTTTTTGGAAAATGCCTTATGATATGATGCCGTGAGCACTGTAAACTTTGAGAAATCCAGCATTTTTTTTTTTTTTTTAAGTATTCTTCTACCTTCTAAAAACACTTATAAACACTATGCAAGTCTATATAAATTGTAATTTATGCACAATTCATTTGGCAATATGGAAAGGGACAAAAATTATACTCTTAAATGTAAATTTTTGTTTTTGTTTTTAAATTTCTCCTTTTTATATCTGTAGATTTTTAAATTACATAGTAATTAAAATAAAGTTAAGCTTATCGGGTTAACTTTAGTTCCATGTATGTGTTTGCACGTTTTAAGGCGTGCACATAGAGGGTTCAGTGTTTGAGTATGTGTGTACCTCTTCAGCTGCAGGGTTGCGTGCAGCGAGCAGCATCTTTCCCATCTCCACGCAATGCACAAAGTTCTTGCTCTTGTTATCTATCTTACTCTTCAGATTCTGATGTTGGGACATCATGCCATCCAGCACAGAGAGGTCCCTGACACGTACACAAGGACCCGCCCAACACCAAGACCCACGCCCAGACACAAACAAAAAACACGCACACACATTATCCTGATGCATATGGTCTACTGTGATTGGTTTAAATCCAAGTGTAGATTCAGGATGACTCAGATGGTTCTATAATTGATCTGGTACCTGGCATCATTAATCGAGCCAATCTGTCCCATTATTCCATCCATCCACATGTTCAGTTCCCGCACCACAGCAAAGAACTGGATCTTATCGGTTACTGTGGTGACCTGCACACGGCTGCCCTCACATGCAACAAGGAGCTCTTTCCAAGCCTGCATCACTTCCTGCTCACGGGACAAAATGGCATCTGCCTTCTCTCCGGCATAAATCGCACGCAGCTGAACTGCGTTTTCTTGCAGTTGGCGTACCTGAGATAAAGGTAAAAACAAAGGTAAAAATTACTTGTATCTATTTACTGACACTTAGGGGCATCTAAAAATATCTGTCACTTAAAACATTTACTAAAACTATTAAAACAATTTAAATTTAATTTAACTCATTCTGATAGGTATTTTATAGAAGCTTGTTTCAACCATGGGATAGAAAAATAAAAAAGGTAATTGCGACTTTTTATCTCACAATTCTGACTTTTTTTTGCAATTCTGAGAAAAAAGTCATATTTGCGAGATATACACTCAGAATTGTGAGATATAAACTAAGAATTGCGAGAAAAGTCATCAGAATTGTGAGTTTAAAAGTCACAATTATGTTTTTTATTTTTTATTCAGTGGCAGAAACAAAAAAACAAATGCAAGATGTAAACAGAGGAAAAAAACGTCAAAACTGCAAGATGTAAAAAAGTCAGAATTGTGAGATGTAAACTTGCAACTGCAAGTTTATAACTAGTATTTCTGAGGGAAAAAGTCAGAATTGTGAGATTTAAACGTACAACTACGAGAAAAAACTCAGAACTGTGAGATAAAAAGTTGCAATTATCTTTTTATTTTTTTATTCCATGGCATCAACAAGTTTCCATGTTATTCAGCACTGTGTGATGGTTGTAACTGTGTTTCTGAGTGTTACTGTGCTTCTGGACTGAAATGGGAAGCACCCCTTGCTGGGTCAGGAAGATGAACCAGTCTAAACAATTATTTATCGTGGCTGCTGCACCTGGTCAGAACAGGTGTTGTTGTTTTGTGTGTGTGTGTGTGTGTGTGTGCTAGTGTGAGTCTTACCTGTGAGACCAGCAGCTGCAGGGAGTGCTCAAAAGAGTGCAGGAGTCTCTGCAGTGTGCCAGGGTTGGCCGAGCTCACCTGACATGACCTCACCTCTGGCAGCTGTCTCATCTTTCCCTCGATCTGGACCAGCACCTACAAAACACAAACACAGACACAATGATGATTCCTCATATTTCAGGCAACTGTGAGTGGGTTTCAAAAAAACGTGTTTTAATGGCTGTATGTGTGCTTGTTTACCTCCTGACAGTCGGTGAAGAACTTGTGTAGCTGGTACGAGGCTGCAAGCATCTGCGCTCTGGTCTCCATGAGCTCCAGAAGATCTGCCCAGGACTCATTCAGCCCATCTTTCCACTCTGCAATGGTGGCAGCATCAGAGTGACTGCAGTCAATCATCTCATTCACCATCTTATTGACTGAATCCATCTGTTTCTGGCCGACTGCACGTGTCTCAGTGGAGAACTGAGTAAAGCTGCTCTGCAGAGCCTGGGAAAATTAAACAGGACCAAAACGACATGTCAGAGATCAGCTCACAGAGGCTTCAACAGGGGAAAACAACAGCACAGGACTTGATTTTATCCATTTGCAACATTAAATCTGATATCACATTAACTATTGGCAAGAGTTTAGGAAGGCTGCATTTTCATTCAACAGTAGCCTATACAGCTTTTTGTTTTTTTGGTTAGCATTATTTCCAACCAAAGTGACATTAGCAGAAAAGGAAAATTCTTTCAGCGGCATAATAATGAATAGGAGGATTAATAAAGTAAACAGGGTCAATATTGATCTCATCTCAATTTTAAAGTTGATGTCAGTATATATTACATCCTTGAGTTCAAAACACTTGACAATATGTGTGTGTGTGTGTGTGTGTGTGTGAGCTGGTGATACCGCGACATGCTCGAGGTCCTGGCCGAGTTCAGTGGAGCTGGCGACAGCCTCCCTCTCAGAGATCCATTTCTCCAGCGCCTCTACCTCTCGCTTCAGCTGATACAACCAGTATTGCTGCTCCAGCTTTGTTTTCCTCTGTTCCACCAGGTCTTTTAGAGATACATATAGCCGGTCTATATGAGCCTGCTGTTTGGTGATTTGCTCACTGAGAGAGAGAGAGAGAGAGAGAGGAGCGAGAGAAAGAAAGAGAAAGATAGAGAGCAGATAAACTTATTCTGGTTACACTCCATCCTTATAAACAGTTAAATCGAACATTCAACATTTGGGGCGGAATTTTAAAAAATTCGACTTATGCTCACTAAAGCTGCATTTATATGATAAAAACATAATAAAAACTGTAATATTGTGAAATAGTTTTCTATTTTAAAATGTAATTTATTCCTGTGATTGCAAAGCAGAATTTTCAGCAGTCCTCTGTGTCACGTGATTCTTCAGAAATCAATCATTTTTGCTTTTTTCACACATCTGTGTATATTTATTTACCTATCTGGATGTCCCAGCTCAAGCATGCGACGGCACTGCTGGGACAGTGAGCTCACTGTCTCTGCATAATTCTCCACTGTTTGCTCTAATGCCAACTGCTCTTTCAGTAACCTAAGAGTGCTGGCCGCATCCTACAGACAAAGAGGATAGATAGAGAAAGAATAAATCTTGGTTTACAAAGTGAAAGACAAGCAGACCACATCACACTGACCACAGTTTACAACCCTGCTATGGTCTGTACTCTGAAGACTTCTTTTAAATACACATGCAAACACATTAGGCTGATGATACACAGGGCAGCTTTTTGAGCAATTTTGCCAGGCAACTTTTTTGGAGCAATGTAGTTTGAGTACTTTCCCATTGAGAATGGGTAAGAAACTTCTATCTGGATATTTTAGATCGGTCATGGGCCCTGTGTCTCACCTGGTTGCCCACTGACGGCAACATTGCTCAAAAAGTTGCCCGTGTATCATCAGCCTTAATGTATTAACACACTGTAATACATTAAAGAGATAGTTCACCCAAAAACCTAGTTCACTTTGAATGTAGTAGTTCCTTTGCTGTATATGGAGGGTCAGAAAGCACTCAGATTTAATCAAAATATCTTAATTTGTGTTCCGAAGATGAATGAAGGTCTTACGGGTTTCAAACGACATGAGAATGAGTAATTAATGACAGAATTTTCATTTTCGGGTGAACTATACCTTTAACCCAACATTCCTGAGTATTGTCATTTAATTTATAGATGGACCGAGTTTTAGGTACAGTACATACGTTTCCTTTCTCCTCATTAAGGACCTGAAGTTTCTGTCCACTGAGCCAAGACTCTGCCTTCACTGCCTGGGTGTAGTACTGCTGGGCATGGTTCACGGCATCCAGCATCACTGTGCGACGTTCCATCTCTACCTGGAGCACCTCCCACAGCTGCCTCACATGCCCGGCCCCTTCACGCACAAGCTCCACCTCTGGGGTCCGCAGGGCAGCAATGGCCTCCGCCCTTTCCAGCACCTCCTCGACCCGCCCCCTCTGAGCCTGCATCTCCGTCTGCAGTGCCTGCATGTCCAATCATACACAAGTGAGCTGTCAGTCAAAGCTCTACGGCCAACTAAATTACATTACTGGAATCAGAAGCCATGAGAACCAGGCTATCAAGGGCAGCTGAATTAAATATATTCAGGCTTAAACCTCAATTGTATCCAGAAATTTGCAATAAGACTAATGATACATCAAACAAGGACAGGTAATTAATAATTAATTAATTGTTGGCTTTTAACCATTGATGTAAGTTTCCATCATTTATGAGAGGATTCCCCGCCACTGACAGAATTCTTTCTGTGTTTTCACTGTTATACAGTAGGAGGCGCTATAACACACCTTCTGAAAGAGTACTGAATTCCTGGATCAAAACACGGTGAAGAAAAAGCAGAAACAAACGATCACGTATGTAAGCAGATGCATATGTAAAATAACACAATCATCAAGCATTAAACAGCATATAAATCAAAAATGATACCGAATGAAATGTTGACCCAGGAAGTGGTATAAGACTGTGCAAGCTTTGGGAGTGTTCTACTCCATCTATATTTGATCATCGTTCTGAATCTAATCCAGACATAATCTTTTACAAAAATTATATTTTCTCAGCTTTTTGTGCAGAATAATGCATTTTCATGAAACTTACCTACATTCAAGCATTTATAAAAAAAATATAGATATGAAGCTTAAATAAAACTTTGTTTTGTTTTGTTTAAAAGCAGAGGCTATGCTCTTTCTTTTGACATATTGCATGTTCAGATATTCATACAACAAAATATTTTGGGGGCCATGAAAATTTTGTGAAAATGATAAAAACGCTGGCAGTGGCTGGCAACTTTAAAAAAAAAACAATGGCGGGGAAAGAGTTAAGGCCAGTTCAAACCAGATGTATTATAGTTAACTAAAACTAAAACAGTAATTAAAAAAATGGTTCCATTACAAAATAAAAACAAACAAACAAACTTTGAAATAAAAGATTTGTAAAAACTATTTCATTACAGTTACACATCTCATTTTCTTTTAGTACAACTCTAAGTACTAAAATACCTAAAACAGCATGAAAACTAAAGCTTATAAATTTAAATAAATAAAAACTACATAGACATATTAAAAAAAAAACAATGACAAAAACAACAAAATTACTCAAAGCTGAACTAAAATTAAAATAGAAAACAGAAAATATAAACATTTAAAATATGAATAAAAACTATACTAAACTATTAGTGTTAATGATACTTAAATAACTGCTTTTACACCAAGAATGATTACTATAAAGATGACTAAAACAATAACTATATTAGGATCGACACCAATGATAACATTCTGTTTGTTATAAGTGTGTGCTGCAGCTATGTCGCCTGCTGCTTTAAATGCATGAGCTCTTTAAAGTCAAGTGGATTCTGATTGGCTGTCAATGTTTTTTATTGTTCATCAGATGGAAAAAAATCGTTTGAAAATGATTTCAACAATATTGTTGCTTTGTGTTGTCATACATGTAGTTATAGTGTGGACTTCCCTTTTCTCATAGAAGTACAATTATTAAAACACTGTTATTGTTATATTGTCCTTGATGTGAGCGGCCCTTTACAAATTAAGATGATAATCAATCCAACTGATTAAAGATTACTGAGTGAATTGATTGACAGACTCCAAAAGGCATTTGTATCATATTTGGCTCTTGGCCTATAAGATACATCAATTCCCAGACCTCTCATTTACTCTGCTCCTTTTATAGTCTTATAGTTAAAAGATGTTGGCAGGAAATATCTTCTTACATTATTTTATGAACGTACAAATAACGTACATGAGCATACAATGTAGAAGTTACATCAGATGAGTTTCATTATATCTGATGCATCTGGTGTCCCAAAACGAGACAAAGCCTTCACTGTCTCAGGGCAAAGAGTAGTACTGACTGTTTAAGTCACGTGATCAATGCTAACCCTTCAAACAGTTTAGACGGACACTTCCTCCTAAAAATTGTGGGTAGATGGGTATATGAAAACTTAATGAAGGTGATATAAACTTTGTGTGCATGTTCTGGCATTCATAATGACTTAAGGCTTGAAACTAAAATTGTTAATTTAACACAATAATTTAGTGACTAATTGTAAAAAAAAGGGAGCATATCCCACTGTGATTGTCTATTCTTTATCACAGAAACACCCCTGCCTGTCTGAGAATGTACTAGAATCATGTCCTATATCAGAGTTTAGAAAAAGATACAATAGTTTTTCTTTTAACTTTAGTCTCACCTTATGGTTAATGATTAAATGTTGGACACTCTGCAGATTGGTCCCATATTCTGTAGATGAGGCCAAAAGTAACCGATCCTGAAGCCATACCTAAAGAAGCCAAAATACAGAAATGTGAATGTGTAAACAAATGTGATATTTTCTGAATAATATTTAAGTGGTGCTTACCCATGCAAAAATTACAGACTGACATTATGTCACTATGCATTTTGAAGTATCGCATCAGAAACGAACAATGGAACGCCAAATTTCTGGAAAAAAAATCCCTTCATTTGCAAAAACGTTTGTACGCCACGTGCTTGAGGTGGTTTAAAAGTCATGTGACTTGTGACTTGTCTGATGGGATGGCATAGCTTGACTAACCAGCGGACCGATCTCGTTGCATAGCATCTGAAATGTTATGGTCATTCTGAAATGCCTGAGATATATTCCCAAACAGCAGGCATCCACCTCCGTAAGCAATGACTGCATTTATTGTGTTTCATCTGCTCGCCCTGCGGCACAAGTAGTTTATCATATGTGACCCTGGACCACAAAACCAGTCTTAAGTCGCTGGGGTTTATTTGTAGCAATAGCCAAAAATACATTGTATGGGTCAAAATTATTGATTTTTCTTTTATGCCAAAAATCATTAGGATATTAAGTAAAGATCATGTTCCATGAAGATATTTTGTAAATTTCCTACCGTAAATATATCAAAACGTAATTTTTGATTAGTAATATGCATTGCTAAGAACTTCATTTGGACAACTTTAAAGGTGATTTTCTCAATATTTAGATTTTTTTGCATCCTCAGATTCCGGATTTTCAAATAATTGTATCTCGGCCAAATATTGTCCTATCATAACAAACCATACATCAATGGAAAGCTTATTTAGCTTATTCAGCTTTCAGATGATGTATAAATCTCAATTTCGAAGAATTGACCCTTATGACTTTTGGTTTTGTGGTCCAGGGTCACATATGCAAAAATTATAATATACAGTGGCTTCTCCTACTTTTCTTAACGATATTTAGTGCCAGTTTATCAGGAAGTGATGATTTTTTTACTTTTTGACTTGTTGGATGTAGACGGTGCTTTATTCATGAATGTTTTATGCGATATTCCAATTTTCCGCATATGTTAAATTCGTAACTTTGGTTGGAAACATAGCTATCGTGTGTTTTGGAGTGCCACTTTGTTCTTTTACACATGAACAGCTCATGATCCAGTGTTTTTAGGGGCTCAGAGTGGCTCAGTTCACAGTCCATACAAGCTCATCTTTCAACTAAACTCGTCTAAGGATGTGCTGTGAGCTTGGGTCACCTATAAAGGGCATTTAGGAACGCAACCATCTTCTCAAACCAGTACAGAAAAACGCTTACAAATCAGCTGTTGTCAACAAAAAAGCTCCCTGTGGTTTACAACAAAATAAAAGCTTGATAGGTTAATGTTTAAAAATTAAGAAATTAAAAAAGCCAAAAGCATTAGTATTGTAATTTTACAGTTGACTTTTATCAAAGTTGAAGTTTACAATTACTTTATTTTTTTCAAAATAATCTAATATTTTTTATTTTGTTCATTTTGTTTCAGTAATAATAATAAGGAATAATATGATGAATATTATTCTTATATATTTATACTGATATATAATGACAAACTATATGGCGAATAGAAAGTGACACTCACAATCTCATCCTCCAGGTCCTGGGTGACTTGGTGCAATTCTTTTGAGGCGAGAAGTATCCGCCTCCTTTCCTTCAGAGGCTCGATAAGACGCACGATTCGGGTCTCCGTCACACCTCCTTGCTCTTCTCTTTCTGGTCTCCGGTGATCAGCACCAGCCCTGACTTCACCAAAATTAGATTTCCAAATCAAAAAAAAAAAAAAAAACACTTTTGCAGGTCTCACTTGTATCCTCTGGAGTTGCTGGCTGAAAGTGGGGCGCGGCTGAAGGAGGGTGGGTTGGGTGCTGTGGGTGGAGCCTAGTGTGGGCGGCTGCTCCTGTATGGTGGTGAGATGCTGGTCCAGGTCGCTGAGGGTGTTAGTGGGCAGGTCGATAGTGCGGTGGTTCTGCGTTTCAAACAGCTGGCGGGCCTTGACTTTGGTGGTGTTCTCCAGGTGAGACCAGCACTCTCTGATTTCCTTCAACTTCATCTCCACCACTGATCGCAACTCGGGCTGTTCCTGGATCAGCTCCTCGCCCTCCTATACATACAAATGTAACATAATCCATGAACGTGTTACTGCTCTGACCCTCAACCTTCATCCTTGCCAGTTTATGCCTGTGTGTGTATATGTAAGATGGAAAGGGATCAAAGTAAAGAGAGTATCTGTCTCTTCAGAGCCATGGCTGAAGTCCAGCCTCCTAAAATAGGGCGCCATCACACACACACACAAACACACACACACACACACACACACACACTCACTGTCTCTCTCTCTCTGCATCAGTGTGTAAAGGTTCATTCTTCTCTGCAGAAACACATGAAATTAAATTCACTCCTGATTCTCTTTTCAAAACGATCTACATCCCTCTTTCCGTCACAGAGACGTCACTGTGTGTGTGTACACGTGTGCATGTCCATACGTGTGTGCGTTTGTGTTTCATAATGCAGTGCAGCATTTCTCCTCTTGGCACAAGTCGCCTGCTCCCCTGTACTGCAGAGAGGGAAAGAGTGTGTGAGAGAAGGAGAGAGAGAAACAGATGGAGAAACAAAGAGAGAACAGAGAAAGGAACAGGAAAAAAGGGGATGCTTGGATGGAAAACAAAAAGATGGAGAAGAAGATGAAACTGAAGGTGGAAATTAAAATCTAAGACAGATAGATGGATGCTGAAGTATTCTGACTGGTTGTTAAGCATTGCTAGGGTGTTCTAGCTGGTTGCTAGGCATTGTTAGATGTCTTAGCTGGCTGCTAGAATTTTCTGAAGGCGATCTGGCTGTTTGTTCCAGTTGCCAAGGAGTTCAAACCATTCCAAGGGTGTTCCAGCCATAGTTATGTATATGTAGATGTCTTATTAGCTGCTGTTTCTATGGGCCGCTATACATAAGCCGTCTGCCATATTGTCCGTGAACACTCGAGAGCAAGCTGACTGTGCGTCTGCAACCTTGGTTATATGCACGTATATCTATATCTGCAACAGACTTCAGCAGATGATTTTGCTAAACTAACACAATACAACAAGAAGAAGCCGTTAGCTAACACAATGTGAAAAACTTAACCTGTAATATTGAATTAATATATAGTAAAAACACAAACCAATGTATTCTCACCTATGAAAGTTTATCCCATTTCTTAAGGAATTAAAATTGTCATTTTTTACAACCAGAGGCTGTGCAATGTTGAGCCATCTTGGAAAACTCAGATTTTTATTGTGAGTGATGACACATTTACTGTTACAAGATGACGGATGCTTTAACATGTCTGAAACGGCCGATTGTGGCATCTACCTATACATAGACCATATCTATGGTTCAAGCTGATTGCTAGGCATTGCTCAGGTGTTGTGGGTGGTCTCTAGGCATTGCTAAGGTGTCTTAACTGGCAGGTGTTCTAGTTAGTTAACTCTAAGGTTGGCTAAGGCGGTCTGGCTGGATGCTAGACATGGTTAAGTGGTTGCTAAACAAATTCATACAGCTAGATGAGAGACAGACATCTAAATAGATGAATGACAGCCACCATTTAAATAAAATCATTAATATTTCAGCAATGAATTGGAGTAGAAACATTATTATAGCATTAAAATGTTTATATAAAAGCTGCTGTATGTGAAATTTAGATGTTTGCATTTTTATTTGAGTGTTGATTATTATATATAACAATTTAAATTTTAGAGGTAATTTTAACCTCTAATATTACAGTGATGTACCATCTGACAGGATTCTTTATATATTTTACAGCATTAGTTGAGAGAGATTTTTTTGCTTAAAAAAGCTGACCTACTGCACCTGATATATTTGGATAGATAGATAGATAGATAGATAGATAAATAAGACTTAATTAGTATTACAAATTACTTAATCTGCATATGTGTGTGTGCAAGAGACAGAGAAACTGTGAGGCTAAAACTATTATTTTGCATAATATAGTACATCATGTGTTCTTGTGAATGGCCTGGTGAAACAAGGAGGCAAGGTCAGCTCTAAGGACATCATCGTGTCCTGTGATTGGTCGAGCCGCCTGTCTGTCATTGAGGATGCTGTGCTGAGTGAGTCTGGAAGTGGGGGAGGGGGCGGGAACTCTTCCAGAAGGACGAAGAGTTCTCCAATCACAGTGGGACGTGGTGTCATTGCTTCTGCTGTTTCTCAGGTTACAGCCTCATTCACACGCGTTTCCGCGGCTACGTACCACTATCTTGAGTGTGTTTGTGTGTGATGCTGTAATTGCTCTCAAGTCAGGCAGCTCCTCAGAGCTACAGAAATCAGGTTCGGGAAATACTGGCAGCCATCTTAGTTCAGCCAAACAAAAAAAAGTGCTAAAAATGAAGAAACTTTCTCCTGCAAAACATGCCATGTCTGACAATATTTCTGACACATATTGGCATCAAAGAGGAAACAAATAGTATTTTTTTAATTGTTAATTTGCTTAATTTTTGAGTGCTAAAGAGATTTCAGGACAAATTCAGAGCCCTCCATCACTGAAAATGATTAAGGATAATATGAAACGTATGAACTTATGAATCTGAGGTAATAAAGCTTATTATAATGGTATCCTATGTTTCTTAATTATGATTCTGTGGCTGTGGCTTTAGCTTAAGATGCACCAATACTAATCATTACATTTGGTTTAAGGATGGGCATGAGTAGCCGAGTACACAAAAGTTACAGCAATTAACAATCATAAAAACAATGATCCGGTGACTTTTAAAGTATGTATTTTTCTTTGATGACGAAATTAAACTTGAGTGCAAGATGTGCACCGCCAATCTGTCAAAGAATTAACATTAATCAGAGCATCATTAGCATATGCATCCACAATGTGCACAACAATCCTAACTTGCACAAGTTAATTTGTGAAAATGTAAGTTGTAATGTTGTATACATAGCTGATTGATCTTATATAGGATGCGTTTGCTTGAGTTATTTCATCCGTTAGTAAAGTGCTTCAGTTTACCAGTGTTCATTCACTCTTCAGCTTCAGCTCACGCAGCTCAAACAACAGTTGAATGATTGAATATTACCGAATAGTATCAGCGTAACTAAATTGCTGATTTTATTATTTGAACCAATCATATTCCTTATAAATGTTCATTTTCCAAAAACACTGATTCATTAAAAAAGAGACATCTAGAATTCTACAGAATAAAATAAAATAATTCTAAATTCTACAATGACCTGCACAATTGTAAAATAGGTCCTAGATTTCTGACACAGCTGTAGTCCTGAAACAAAATCCTGAAGAACAGGGAGAGAAAAGGAAGCATGTTGCAAATTGCTCAGAAAGCAGAATTAGACTCTCCTTCTTCAAACTGAACAGAACAAGCAAACATCTGACAATTCAAAGTCAGACACACAACACGCAAAGACATAAAACTTTGACTTGACTTAGTGGGGGGAAAAAAACTATTTTCTACATTCATCTAATTCACTGCAGGATTCAGATTATAAAAAGCTATTTCACTCATGAGATTGGTTTGCATGTTTGATATGGTCCACTGAAATCACCCGAAATAAAGCTTTGCGAAACACTGGCACTGAAGTACCAGAACAACATTAATCAGAAGTTTCACAAAAGGCCTGGAGATACATGACAGTCACATCCACATAGAGTAGCCAAGAAGCTGCTGATTTCCACTGGCATTTACAGATCAAGAAAAGAAAGAATCGCACCATTTATTACAATTGAAGATGTTATGTAATGCAATGATATTACACTTTCCCAAACCATGATCTGACACTGATCCATGTTACATTAGGGCTGGGCGATCCATTGAATATTCACAATATATTCAAAATGACTTTTATAATGATAACAATTTATGCAACACAGACAATACTGTGATGATATCTTAATGCTTTTTAATTGTAAATTACATTTCCCAAAGACTAGTTACGTCCTTAAACTAGTACACTAGCAATTCTTCTTAAGACAAAGTTAAGACAAAGATGTTTCAATACTTATGTTCATTTAAGTCTGACTGTATGGGATTAGAAGGTTGTAGCAATAAATAAATAATAATGTTGTATTTGTGTTTATCAATTATATGCATATAAAGTAAATATAAATAAAAATAATATAAACCAATATCCATACAAATATAATTTGTCCTGTATATTTAGAGAAAAACAGTGTGGAAACATGCCTTTATTTATTTCTTTTAACTGGGTTAAAATTCTTTAAACATTTTGAATATACATGCTAAAATGTCTGTTTGTTTGAATTGCTGATCTTTCAGTCTGCCTGATTTAAAAAATATATATTTACCATCCCTATGTCACATACATTAAAAAGAACTCTATTAACGGAACCAGTATTTCTTGCCACATGACAAGATTTTTTAAGAGTATAAACCAGTCTGGAAACGAATAGTTGATTTTAATCATTCCAGTAAGAGGGCTTCTCCTCTAGGCAAGCTCTGACACAGAAGCATCGGAAAATACACACGAGTGACATTTAAAATCAGCTTGAATAAAGATTAGCTTAATTATTACAAAGTAGTGCAGTCAGCCTAAAGGCTACAGAGTTTAGAATCTTACATCATCTATTCCTTGGTGAACTGTATAAATAGCACCAAACTTCATTCAGTCATACACGGAAGAAACATGAGAAGAGAAAACAAGGCCAAAACAGAAAGATAGCAGGCCGACAACATCTAAAGACATTCAGACATGTTGTAATTCAGAGTATTGCGGTACAAATCCACCACAGGAACACAGTGACGATTCAGCAACAAGGCATTTGAGATATTATTAACCAAATCATCAATGCAGCAAAATGCATCTGAAATTTCTAGTCAGAGCTGGATTGTTTACCACTTAAAAACACACTATTCCATTAAGACAGAAACCTTTGTGGAAGAGCTCCTTCACTTATGTTTAGATCTTCTTGCCATCACAACCGCAATATAACACAAAAATAGAGAAAACACACTTGCAACACTACTACATACTAGCATCTCGGTCCACACAGCATCATACATCTACCATAAAATCACACACACATATGCCACTTCATGGATTCAGATAATGAATTCATATTTTGCACAGTTTAATTCTTGGTTTCGGTTTTGTACATATTTTTGAGACAATTCAGCACAACATTTAGCACATCAGTGAGGCTGATTCTCAGCTTTCCACCCACTGTCAACATGAAAGAAGAACAGTAGCGGCGTCTACGCAGTCATACAGCGACACACAATGCATCATGTCATGGTTCCTTACCATTTTCTGTGATCAGCAATACAAGCAAATATCCCATTAATACCCATCATACCTTTAGACTGATTTACATGATACTAATCATATTAATGTCCCTGCCATCACACAAGGTGCTCTATGGTTTCAGACACTTCACAGTGCCATTCGAAACCCAGCCATCACACTTCAGCTGCACCGAGATGTCCTGTTATGTATTAGGCCATGATAAGCAATCTTTCAGGACAGCATGTACCGGATCAGAACAGGTCACCTGGGATCAAATATTGTATTGCAGGGCATCATAAGGCACCATAGACCAACTGAAACCGAACATGTTATATAACATTTAATGGCAAGTGACATTTAAAAAATAAGATAAGAAATAAGATCTTAAATGGGAACACACCGAAAATGTTAAAATTCTAGTTGACACCAATAAGCTGATAATTGGCTGATAACTAATACAAGGCCAATAACACACGGAAATCTAAAATCAACATTTCTCATCAATGTCAGATCAGTGTTTTGGTGTTTAAGCGAATGTAAGCATCACAACATTACAATATGGATAGCCATTTATTTTGAGAATGTGAAATGTTTTATAAAAGTGAGATAGCATCCTTCAAGAAACTGTGAAACTGTAGTTGTAATGTAGTGTTACATCTATAAGTTAGATGACTGCAAAAGTAATCTAAAATAAAAAATGGTATATTGTATAAATGAGTATGCATACCTAAATATCCAATACCCATTAAAAACAATATATGTAAAATGTATTTAACCTTGTTATTAATTAGTAAATATGGAAGTACTTATTTAGCACTATTATATGATGTTGTTTAGCACAACGGTCAACGATTGTTGTTTTTATTGTGCTTTAAAAATAAAATTGACTGAAAAATCTTTTTGCTTTATTTACTGGCATCTCATACTAAATTTATTTGTTGATTTAAATACACAACAATAAAAAACATGCTTCAAATGCCTCAATGGTTTCAGGTAGAAACACTGGACATGGGAAATATAACGAAGAGAGAAGAAGAAATCCTGCACACTGCTATGTGTGCCATGTCTCTGCTTTTAGATGCCTGATGAAGGTTGCATAATCGAAAATTTGCTGTTTCAACAAACATTGGATTTCCTGCAATCTATGGCGATTTTGGGTTTTTTTCTTATCTCAACACTGGTTTAAGAAAAAAAAACATGCATGATTACAGAGGACACTATTCACTCCTTTTTGAATAAACATCCCAAAGTCTACACCTATATGTCAGAATCTGTCATCAGTTCATCTCCAATCAACCACAAATTTGTTCTAAACCCATTCTCAACCAACCATCAAGCATTCGCCTCAAATCTATTCTCTGTTCATCCTCAATCAAGGCCAAAAGCCCTCAACTAAACCACAACCAAAGCTAAATCTGTACTCGGCCCATTCATAATCAATTTTCAATCCAAAATCTTTTTTCAACCAATCCTGAATCTTTTCTCAATTCATTCTAAACCATTCCTGAATCTTCCCTCAACAGATCCTGAATCTTTTCTGTTTTCAGCTAATTTTTTAACACAAGTCTTATTTCCTTCATACTTCTCATGCGCTCTAAATTCAACTGAGAATTCATACTGGCTCGGTAATGTTTTCCACAATTCCCAGGATAAAAGTAAGGTCTAGGAACAGCATTTACATTTATTAACCAAGAGACACCAAGTCACCAAGGCTGCATTTATTTTGATCAAAAGTACAGTAATATAGTGAAATATTATTACAATATTATAACCGTTTATTATATATTTTAAAAAGCAATTTATTCCTAAATATTCAGCAGTCATTACTCCAGATGTCAGAGACACATGATCCATCAGAAATCATTCTATATGCTGATTTACAGTTCTTATTATTATCAATGTTCAAAACTGTTGTGCTGCTTAATATTTTGGGGCAAACCATTTAAGGATTCTTTGATGAATAGAAGGTTCAAAAGAATAGCATGTATTTAAAAAATAAATATTTTGTAACATTATAAATGTCTTTACTGACACTTTTGATCAATTTAATGCATCAATGCTGAAAAAATTAAATTCTTAAAAAAAAATTACATCCTTATAAATTTATATATATTTACGAAGAAACTGTGCTCATAAAGCCAATGTGCTGGAAAGGAGTCGGAGCCCATGCAGTTGCCTGAAAAGCACCTTATGTACAAAGTGCCCACCCATATATAAATTTTTTCCCTTCTTCTCACCATCCCATTTCTTTAATTTCGTTGCCTGTGACTCACCTGTTCGATCTTGGCGAGCCATTCTTTGTTACGGGCCAGTTCGGCCATGAAGGCCTGGTGCTTCATCCATTTCCTGTGCAGCTTCTGAGCTTCATCTCGAGCTCCATCGCGAGCTGTCAGCATCCTATCGGCCTCTGGGAGCTCTGCTCAGCTACACCATACACACACATGCACAGAGCAGTCAGCAGACAGCTACGACACATACACACTCTGTCACAATCTTTTAGCCATCATTTCCACACACACACACACACACACAGCACCAGGCCCTGTACACTCCACATCAATACAACACTGCAGCACCACGAAAACCTCTTCACCTGCACCACCAGCACACACACATCCCAAAAATGCCCAGAGCAGAGGAGAGAGCAGCACCTCAGCAGAATGTGCAGCAGCAGTGGGGTCTGGAGCTTAGGGGTGGGGGAACCACTGGGTCCTCATGTCCTCCAGGTTAGCGTCCAGGCCCCTGCAGTTCTGCTGCAGTATCCGTGCGTCAGTCCAACGGCTCAGAAAAAACAACCGGTACGCACACACGCAAGACAGACACCCACTGAAAGCGCTTGGTCTCCTACAGAAACCTTCGGTGGGGCTGTTTCCTGTAAAAAAATCACTGCATTATAATCCTTCAAGCCACATGAGAACTAAACGCTGCGTCTTCGCCTGCTTGCGTCCACGTCAGGGGCGAAGCTCTGGTTTCAGCGCTGCGCCCGGAATCGCTTCGCCGTCCTGCTGTCGACCTGGGTGGATGGGGGGTTCGGAGGAGGAGTGGGAGGAGTCGCTGATGTGCGTGTATGTTGGGAGGGGGGGACAGCAGATTTAGTCACCTGAAGACACAAGTTACCCTCTTTGAATGAGCTCACGCATTTGCAAACATCGTGCTGCGGAGGATGCAACGGCTGAATGAATGCACACGTGTGCTTTTGTGGGCAGATTCTCATGTGCTCTAGTGTGATTGCAATGCAGCATGCTGCAGTCTCTCTCTCTCTCTCTCTCTCTCTCTCTCTCTCTCTCTCTCTCTGCCCAGAGACAACAAA